TTTTTTTTTTTTTTGGGGGGGGGGGGGTTGTTTTATCTGTTCGTTTGTTTTCTTGCGTGTTTGCTTTTGGTTTGCTCCCGTTTATATATTTGTCTGTCTGTTTATTCATTTTTCCTTATGGCTGTTTAAGTTTCTCGTTGGTTCGTTTATTTGTTCATTCGTCTTCTTTTGTCTTTGTGCATGTATTCCCCTTCAAGGTTGGTTTTTTCGTTGATTTTTTATTCGTTCATGCATCTGCGCATCCGTTCGTTAATCTAGGTGTTTAGCCGCTCATTTTTCAAATTCTTTAATGCTCTTGTTTGTTTTTTCTTAATTTTTGTTTGTTTGTGTTTTCGCTTTCATGTTTGTTTTTGTTATTTTCTTCCATGCTTCTGCGCGTGCGTGCGTTCGTTCATCTGTCCGTCTGTCCTTACATAAAACACTCACTGTTCCTTCATGTCACCTTGCTGTTTCATTTGTTCCTAGGTGAATCTCCATTCCTCCTTTAACATGAGGATCTCGTACAATGACTATAAACTCTACCTGGAAATCTTTGAGTCGGTTACCAAACAGCTCAATAAAGCAATGAAGGCTGATGCTAAACCACAACAAGAAACTATGGAGCACGACTTTGATGGTAAGTCTTGGTTTTACTTGTAATTGCCACAACAGTTTAGGTAGGTTGCGTAAGGCGTCCTAAAATATACACAAGAGAGCGTAAATAAGAGAGGGAAACTTCTTAATAACGCGCGCGTCATGTAAATTTCCGTTTGGACAATTTTTAGTAACCGGATGCAGCTTACGTTTTGCCTTACATTACTTGCGCGCTGGCGCTCGTTTGGCCCCAATTAAAACAGGTCATTCTTTTCAATATAACTTTTCTATTAAGCTAATAGGGCAGCGCACAGATTCTAAAAGTAGCTTAAAGACTCAGACAAGCGTGTCGGGTATTATACGAACCGATTTTATTATTTTTACTTAAAGTTAGAATAATAACCTAATTAAGCAAAGATCTACTGCGATCGGCTATAAAACTTATTTGTTGAAAGTAAAGTTTCAGTTTGTTTGTCCGAGTTTCGTTTCTGTCTTTGTTTATTTGATGTCATCTAAGCGCTGCGATACTATTGATTTCTTTTGCTCCCCCAAACGAATGACTAAATTCAGAAAGCACGCGCTCCAAACCAATTACAACAGTTATTCTATATTAGTGATTCTTGACCCGCAGAGAAACTAGTTAAGAGACTCGTTGAACTTGGTTTCCAAGAAGAAGATTGCATCAAAGCTCTCACAGCAACATCTGGCCGACTAGACGCATCAGCAACATGGCTACTAGAGAATGCCACACCCATTGTCCCTACAAACAGCGCTGCAGACAACGCTGGATGGCAGTTTGCTGGGTTTGAGGTAAGGATATACACTTGCTTAAGACGACCACTATTTTTTCTCGAGAAAACGAATGCACTTTTTGTTGTGGACGACATGCATACACGCATGCATGTATTTGTTGTATTCAGAATCTTGCTGGAATTCGGTGGGTAAGTGTATAGTATAGTGTATGATGTAGTATTGACCGTAGTTTTCTTGTATTCAGGTTCGTGCTGGTACTCTGTGCGTGTGTCTTGTATAGTATAGTGTATAATGTATGATGTAGTATTGACCCTAGTTTTCTTGTATTCAGGTTCGTGCTGGTACTCTGTGCGTGTGTCTTGTATAGTATAGTGTATAGTGTATGATGTAGTATTGACCGTAGTTTTCTTGTATTCGGGTTCGTGCTGGTACTCTGTGCGTGTGTCTTGTATAGTATAGTGTATAGTGTATGATGTAGTATTGACCCTAGTTTCCTTGTATTCAGGTTCGTGCTGGTACTCTGTGTGTGTGTCTGATTGATGACTGCGGAGATACTGATGTTCCTCTCATTGAGTTGAGCGTACAAAGTAAGTTTGTTAACTCAGACGCCAAAAGTAAAAACGGAAATTTCCAATTCCCTGTATCTACATACTGCTACTACCAGAATCCTCTTCCAATCAGAAGATAATGACGATATTTAGGCAAACTAAAGGAACTATGAAAAAATGGTAATAGTAGTATCAAAAGGTATATATGATRTATTTAACAACAGACCCTTTAGGAGTTCCAAATTTCCGCTGTGTTCCCCTATTGCAGACTCATTTACTTAGGCTTAGCCTTGAATCAGTGTCTAAATATTCAAAAATACCAACGGTAAGGTGAAGAATGCATAACTTCAAAAAAAAGAACACTATGAAACTTGACGGACCTTGACTGGAACACGTGAATATTCTTCACAAAATCGAGGCTAAGCCTGAGTAAGTGAGTCTGAAATCAAGAAACACAGCGGTAATTTGGAACTTGAAAAGGGTCTATTAAACCTTCAGCCCAAATGTTCTACAAGTCACTAGTCCGATTCGATTCGATTCTTGGTCCTCTACACATGAGTAGAGGCTCTAGTTGCCTTTCCGAAGTTTGTTCATGGATGGGTTTCTCCGGGCTCTCTGGTTATCCTTCCTCCTCAAATACCTTAGCATACTTACCATTTGAGGCATTGATCTAATGATAGCCCACCATGAATGTGTTACTGTGTTTTCATCATACTTACCATTTGAGGCATTGATCTAATGATAGCCCA